ATTTATTGAAGTAATGTTTGAGTCAATTTGGTCAAGAACTTTTAAGAACATCAAGTGAACGCATTAGTTTAATGTAACGTATTTTTTTGTGATTTCATTTTTTGAGTAACAGAAAAACCTGGCTTCAAAATATACAAACTTAATTAATTGGATTAATCGTATGTTCCTTTTTCACTAACAGTACTAGTCATAACAGCCGCGACATCAGCCAGATTGATCAGGAAATAAGAATTTTGGTAAAAATCCTGTTTACAATTTAGCTGCAAGCGCTGTTTACAGACGGACAGACGTTTAGGCGTAAACCAATTTTTCGGTATCGAGGGCCTGCAAATGTGGATTCTGACTAAAAAGTTTCGTTTTGAATAAAGGTTTAGAGGAAGTTTTCTCTTTGCGTCACTGTTTAAATGTCGCTCTTTCAGTACAGATCAGAATCCTCTTCGTCCACGACTGTCTTTCAATTAGTTGAGGGCTCGAGACTCTCAAAGATTTGGGGCCCCTAAGTATTGCCTGAAAAATGGATTATACCATTTTGTAATAATGTATTCGGAAATGTTAATATAAATATTAAAATATGTGATAATCCTTTCTTTTATGGTAAGCAAACGAAATATAAAACGATTATTAGAGGGATGGGATTAAAATCCCATTAGGGTTCAGATAATTTTATATTGCTATTTTAACGTCTGATAGCTTTTTATCATCTGCGGGGCCCCCTTAATCATGGGGGCCTCGGCAGCCTGTGCCCAAAGACGGACCTGTGTACGTTGTTTACAGGCCTTTCAGTCTCTAAAGCAGTCTGTTGGCTTCTTTTTAATAACCTTTCCAAGGCATTTGCAAGTAGAATGATAGCGGAACGATCATGTCTCACTACCACCAATTCCGTGTAGTTTCTGTGGTCTGTTCTGGGCAGTAAACGATTTTTTGACCGTTTCTAAAATAATTGAGCATCGCCAAACGTTAGCATTGCTCTGCGAAATGTCTTCTTCAGTCAGCCACATTGGCTGGAGCGCAAGCTGTTAATGCCTCAGAGACCGGGAATTTTCTGTCACTGAGCGGTAGTTTTCTGATCAACACCAGGCGAATGTCGGAGCAGTACTCTCACAAACGGGCCACTAACCGCGCTCGATCTTTCCTTTACATTCCTTGTACAATCCTTACCCCTTACTTACACGCACGAACATGCACTACACTACCACATGCACACTACACGGTCGGGAGCATAGAGCTTGTCCTGGCTGGGGCGGTGCCCCGTTGGTGGGAGATACCTAGTTTAGGAAAAGTCTGCTGGTCGATGATAGGGAGGTGCCGGATCTAGCCGTTCAGTATGTGTAGTTGGAGGTTAGAGATAGTTTTCGTGAGTGATTTACATTGTTCCAACATCGTTTCTAAAAGGAATATACGAAATGATACGAATCATTCCAAAAGCAGAGGAGTGTGTACGCGTGTGAATTAAGTCATCAAACGGTTGCAAATGGGCAGGCCTTAAATACCGGATTTCAAAGTGCGTGGTAATGAAAGCGTTTATGCAATTAAACTCGCAAAAGATAAAATTTTAATCACGGAACTATGGATGTAAATAATATTTTTTTAAATGAAGTTTTAAAGTGAGCTACCTGCACAATGACAACATGCGAATATTCACCAATTGGCGGAATGACAAGAATAATAGAGTAAAACAACACATGTACAAGTTGCCAACGTTTGTGAAATAAATATGAATCATGTCTACGTGTTAATCACCTACCACGCCCCCAATTTCGTTTAGTATAAAAGTATCAAAAAAACCGGACACATGCCTGAACAGACAATATCTGGCATTCCAAATACATCAGTTTGTCATTGCTACCAAATACATCAGTCTCCGTTGCGTCATCAACAGGTGTCATTCCACATCCACAGGTTTTAGTATGGAATAAATTACAATATTTCAGTATTACGTATCAATTTTCAATAATTCGAGAAAGTATATGCTGTTGAAACACCTCTAGTTTGAGCTTGGGCCGAATCCTCAAGATCACCATCGCTGTCATCATGACCTACAGACAAACGGAAATAATTTCGTTCTGCCATCATACCATCTTCATCTGTTTGCAATCTGGCATAAATTTCACTCGCGCAACTTTTCTTAGCCGATGGCTCGAAGAAATGTGGGAAGAGTGGGGGTATAATGACAAAATCCGCCACTAGATTTTATGAAGCAATGCCAACTTCTCAATCATGCCTTCGCAACTTTCTCAGGAGTTCGAGGTATCTCGTGTGAAGGATCTTCACCTGCTTCGGTCATTTCTTTAATTTCTTTTTGGAGAAAATCACGGCCAGAAGTTCTCGTCTTCAACAGAAAATAGTTTCTATTTCGCTCCAATGAAGATGTGTTTGGAATGTTATCAATGCTCGCTGCGAGATTTTGCCTTCAACTTTTCATTGTGCCACATAGGGGGAACCAAGGTCATCAGTCAAGAAAGGTTGCGCGATTCACTTGTGTCTACTGTGTCTAATAATTCGGACGATTGAAAATCGACAAATTCTCTTCGGCGAAATCAGAGGGGCGACTTCACTTTTCTCCATTTCTATCTTTGTTTTCAATTTTACTAGGTCAACTTTTATTGTTAACCAAAAGCAATAATATAACGTCTTTGATGTTGAATCATTATAATCATTACGGACTACGCGGACATCGGGTTTAATGAGGGGCGATAAACGCAGTTCCAATGTCCATCCATTTGCAGCAATAATATTACTGGATAGGCAATAGTGTCAAAATATGTATTTTGCACAAATTTGGAGCGAAAACCATTGTGGAGGACTGATTTAGATTGCACGCTTTTTAAGTTGATTAACGTGCTTTTTCAGCAAAACATTCTAAAGAAAATATTAAAGCTACACTGGAGCTAATTGGTCAGCTCACTGATTTGCCGTGACAACGTACAAATTAATAATTTTTCTCTCCGAATAAAACTTGAGCAAAAAACACTGAAGTAATGGTTTTAAGGAATAATATGTAGTATTATAACACACTTAACATATCCCGTGACTTGCAATGATTCTTCTACAAATTCCCAACGGCTCGCTGGAGCATTTCATTACTCGAGCGCCGTTAAGTTGGTACGCCCTGCTCTCGCGCGCGACGGGGTGATTCACACGCCCGAATAACTGCGCAGACAGCTTCGCTTTGGACTGATTAGTGATTCCGGACGCGTCGACTGCTAAGGTCGTTAGTCCCGTACGTGTAGTACCTGTTTTAACCGCTGGACGCGGCGGTGATCTCGGACCCTCGCGATCTAGCGGGGCAACGCCGATTTACGTCGGCTAGTGAGATTTTCCCCACCAGCGGGGTATCGCCGCAGCCCGGACAAATCGTACATGCGTGGTAGTGTAGTGCATATAAGAGTAACTGTGGAAGTAAGGGCTGAGGATAGGGCAAGGAAGAGAAAGGAGAGATCTCGCGCGGTCCATGGCCCGTTTGTTAGGGTACTGCTCCGGCATTTGCCTTGTGTTGATCGGAGAAATACGAAAAACTGCCCAACAGAGCAGCCTGACGCTAGAATTCTCCTGCAAACGGGCTTCTTTCTAGTGCTAGGGCACAACTAGTACAAAAGTTGGGCTGGTAAATGATATATTTGCCAAATTGTCACCTTAATACCCTGGTTGTTATGCCAATGCCAATCTAAGTGGCTGGTAACTTTCCTACAACAGGACCCAAGAATAGGGAGGGAAAGAGAAAGAAACGTGCATACATAGGTTACATTACATGCACCACACTCACTATGTACCCCTCTCTTGCTGAACCTACTCATTAACAACATATGTTAATGTTCTTTGCTTGCAATATAATCAATTTTTAATTAAAAATTAGAAGCTTTTTCAACTGCAATTCATGATTCCATAAAATTGCAAAGAGCAAGTGCAATGCACAATTGCATTGGCAGCAGTTCTGGAATAAACACACCACTGACCGTGTGAGATCTTGCCTTCTTTTTCCTGCTTGTATCGTGCATTGAGCACAGTTTCAACTACATATTTGCATAAATCTATTATGTTGAATCACAATACACTTTGTTAGTCTAATTGTATTTGATACAGTCCATAATAGAGGTAACCTACAAACCATAATTGGTCAGTCTAATTGCATTTTCTTCCTTTTTAACTCTCTGACTGCTCTGCATGTGTTGACATGCAGAGAATTTTCATCCCTGAAGGCTTCTCAAAGTGTTAACACAGTCGCTGGGTTCTTCTGCGTACAGGCGCAAGGCAATTCTCATTTTTATAACGCTTTTGCAAGGGCCAAATTAATACTGAGATGATTTTAGCAGTATCTATGTGTTATTCAGCACACTTTACTTGTCACTTTGATGCTGTTCTGGTTCGCTGCTCTCTTATTTCTATATGTTAGTGTGCAATTTTACTACTATTCTAATGCTTATTGTTTGGTTCAGTATCCTCTATGTTCAAACAACCAATGTTGGTTTCTTAAATTCTGCGTGCATCACTACAGTGAGTTTTAAGGAGGGGTAGGAAGTCTCTAAGAACTGCCTCACAAAGAGAAATTTCTTGTCGGACTGACACTTTCCTATCACAGTTTATTTTTCAATTTTGTGAAATGCTGGAGTTCTTGAAGTTCTGTTAGGTCCTACCTAACTCATTTTCTTTTGTCTTTTGTTACTTGTCCTTTGTTTGAAGTTCCCTATGTACATACATTTGGTTATGATTGGATTTGCTTCATAATCTCAAAGTTACCATGGCCAACAACACTGAGCTTAAACCAACTGGCAGGGTCAGCTTAGAGCAGTACTGATAGCCAAACATATTCCACACATCGCGCGACTCACTCTAGGCATGACTGTAGCAGTTAAAGGGTTAATATTATTCTTTTCTGTTCAGTGAGGAAGTATTGGCAATGGTGAGGATGCAATGTGAGCAAAGAATATAAGCAAGATCTATCAATGCACTAAAGGGCAGAACATGATACATGACCACAAAGAGAAACTATAAAAAGCACTCACCGAGATGCTCGCAGTAAACCTACAGCAAGTTCGAACTGTCTATCTCGTAATGCCGCTTGAATTCGTTTCACAGCATCTACCCTAAAAAAAATTGAAAATAGTTTTAGCCTTGAATAGAAAAAAGAAGGTAATTATATATTAAATTTTAAACTCACTTCACAAACGACAACTTACTTTTGTTCATCAATGGGCACTTCTGACGCTGAATCAAATGGGACAACATTTTCTGGCATGTTCGTTTGATTTTCAATAACAGTAGAAACTTCCAGAGTTAAACCTTCCCACAATTCCTCTGGGCTAAGTGGTGTGGATGCAGGTTGATTCTTTTGGGAATTCTTTTCTAGAAAAAATCAAATATACATTCCATTATGAAAGTGTGCAATTATCAAACAAATTTCACATTTGTTTGAACCAGCTCTCTTCTCCATTCAAAAGCTTATTTCAAACAGGATTTTATTTGCAACACTGGTTGATATATCTATAATTAATTAATTAGTTAACGAAAAGCACTGTAGAGAATGAGATCCTGGGGGGATCATATAAACTTTCTGCTCCCATGACATGGGGCTCAACATTGCAACATGGTCTTCTGGTATCAAGACTCATTCTAGACATTTTCTTGTTCTTTCCTGAGCCTTGAATTCTTTTGAATATCAGCAGGATGTACACCACTGTGGAGGAAACAACTGGTAGATGTCTATCAAGTCCATTGTTGTAAAATTTCAGATTCTTACACACTTTATTAGGCTTGGTAAAACTTTTGTTGAGATTCAGTACACGTCTGTTCTGGCACATTATGAGAGTACAATACCTTCAGCGCGAATTGCCAAGTGTGAAATGTAAGTTTTGTTTCCAGCTTTTCTAAACTTTTTCACAAGAGCAAAAAAACACCTTCCAACAGAGAACTCCAGTGCATTCAATGCAAAAGCTTATCATGCTGTTCTGTTGTTTCAATTTTAAAGATAGTTTATTGGCCCATTAATTGATAAGAAGTGTGGTGACATCAAACAAAATTGGGCTGAAGTGTAGTATACGGTACAACCTAAGGAACTCATTTAATCCGGCACTTCGCACCGCTCCGGCAAAGGGGAAATCCACGGTGGAGGGGACAAAGGTGGAGGGGTGTTAAGGGATTATGAGGGGAATCTTTGCATGCATATTGCTCACCACAATATATATATACATATAGGCGATTTAAATAAATTGTAAAAAATACACTTCTGAAATAATTTTAATGGTTCGTAATTGGTCACGAACGTGACATCAAAAGTTAGGGGTGGGGGAAATTTTACCCAATATCGTGCCGAAACTTCATAACAAAATGGTGTGGGGTGGGACGTACATCATGTGTCTACATGGTTTTGTTGCATAGCTGTCGAAGTGTTTAGCTAGCTAGCATTGCTGTCGTACAGTGGTTAAGTTTCTTGCGTTCTTTAGATTCTTTGCGATTTGTGTTTTTGAGTTTCGAGTGTCTGATGGTGAGAATAAATGTGGGTTTTTTTGCGTGTTGCGCCAAAAGGGGTGTTTGGCTGTCATTGAATGGGCGCAAGAACGAAATTTGATTACTGCAGGATTTGTGTGCTGTGTGTAAGTGACCTCAGGTTAGCTAAGCGAAAGTTGTGTGATGGTTTTGAGTGGAAGTGTAGCAAGAAAGGAGCCACTCCTCATTGTGCGTAAGTGTTCCATGTGGAAAGGGCCACGGCTTGTGGAGAACAAGTTGAGTATAATTCAGGTATTAGTAATGACTTATCATTGGGTTATAAAATAGTCAGTCAAACAGCCATAAAAATCGCCTATTGCTAATATTCATTCATTTCTGTCAGAGCGCTTGGCGTAATTTGAGGGAGGGCTACAGGAGACCCCTTCTCCCCCTCCTTGCCGCCATGCTCCTCTAAGGGTGTACCATGTTCTTTAACCCAAAATTGTTGTTCTCAAACAAATTGCTGGTTCTTTTGTGAACCAAACCATAAAATATGTTCATGTGTTGCAAGTGTGTCACTGTAATGTCAGTGGAATTTAAATCATGAGACGATAAGAATACAGGGCTTCAATTAGGAGCGTGAAAGTTTAACAACATTCTGGTCGACCTGAATAGCGAGATCGGTCAGGGTGACCATGCCTTAGAAGTTGTAGTTTGAAGAGCTGTGGATTCAAATCCTACTTCAGGCATGGATGATTCCTAGTAAATTGTGGCATGGGCCTTCCAACCACCATGTGCCACTTTTCAGCCCTCTTCCTTCCAATCCTGACCAATATGAGTGGTGTAGGGGCTCAAGGCAGAAGTACATGTTAGATCTAGGATGAGGGTGCAAATCTCACGTAATGTGTGAATGTTTTGTTATGGCATAGTGTAACAAATCTTCTTTTACCTTACACCCTAAATTTTCCTCTTAATTCCTTTCCCTTTGCGGTAAGTCACGAGTGTGGATACGATTAAGTGTAGCATACAGGCCGACCAGCTGCAGTATCGGCTAAGTATGACTCTCCGAATGTTACAGAATGAAGAATGATGGGCATATGCACTAAACTTGTCCAATAAAGTATGTACAATGAGTGATGGAGGTTCATGAGAAACAATGACGCGATGGATGTAGAGTGTGGTAGGCACTGGAGGATATGGTCTCATCTGCTGGGAGAACATATGCAATCACCGAAATGTGCAAAGATATAAAACAGAAAAACACACAAAATTACATTACAAATCAGTTTCCGAAGTTTATTGGAAAAACATGCCGTGGCCTTACTTCATCAACCAAAAATTCCACAGGGATCAAAATTTAAATGTTAATGTGTCAAATTTAAACACATCTTATAATATAATCTTCCCTTTTAGTAAAAGATGAGCATTAAACAAGAACACTTACTCTTTGCTTTATTATGTCGTCCTTTCTGCTTTTCTTGAACAACAATACCACGACCTCTTGTACAGAAATGTTCCAATAGTTTCAAAAATATGTGAACGGTTTCTATTAAATCCTTCAAAAATGCCCTGCAAATGAGATAATTTAATCAGTTAATTAGTCTGAATAAAGAAGCAGAAAGATCCAAGACAATGTTGCATATTTAATATTAAAGACAATGTCTACCGAGAAAATTTTGATTGATGAAAATTCACCATGAGAAATAATATTAATTCTCTGTATTCCACCACATAGAAAATATTACTCTTAATGATTCGAGCAGATTCTTTTACATCAGGATCAGTTGAGGTATCCATAGTTGTTAAAGTCATCAGCAATTCCTGAAAATTAATAAACAATAAGTCCTTGAACCACTTATGGCATAATTGACAGAAAAAAAAAATTGTTGAGAAACAACAATACTTGGTATGCTCGCAAGGCCAAATGCATTCTTCGTGACCATGCAAAAATCTTTTTTTTTTCCACAAGCATTCTTTCATGGTAATTTTCGATTTGAGTTTGAATAAAGTGGAAAGTTGATAAAGACATGGTTTCACTGAAAAACAAAGACAATATTTAACTAACACCTCCACAATATTTTACAAGAATATTTACAATTGAAGACAATTTTCAGCCTCAAGAACATTACCTAATCAATTTCATTTCTGCTTTGTAGTGGCGATTGAACTCCATAAAAAATTTCATTGCCCATAAGTAGTATGATTCATCATTTACTTGATTTTTTCCATGATGAATCATTTCCTAGAAAGTAAAATGCAGGAGTGTACTCTTCTTACAAAAATAGTACTTATTTTATTATTAAGAATAAATACAAAATATTCTTCCCACCTTTACAGAGTACATCAATGTGTTGTAAGCGCCATTCAGAAATTCAATACAAAATTCTTTTAGAAATAAACGAACACTCAAAGTGGATCTTCTTTCAACTATTGTGTCAACTGGAGGTCTCTTGTTCTTGGGTGTCTTCAATTTTTTCTATAAAATCCAAAGTTTTTAATTTAATTAAACAAGTCAGAAATAGCAAATATTACAAATATAATGACATAAACCTATAACTAGGTCTAAATGATTATAATCTAATTAAATGGCCCTTATATTGTGCTACCTAATCCACCACATCATTATGTACAATTAAAGTCCAAAAATTTTGCATTTGACATCATTGAAAATCTAAAATTTTGATTACGCATGGAAATAAAATGATAGTCCAGAAGGCAAGCATCCTAGAATACTGCAAGATCTTTCCATATCATCTTTAACCTTTCCAAAGTCACACTGACAGTCAAGGTCTTTCAACAGGTTCAGGTCAAAATCTGGCCTCGTATTCTCATATATTTCTCTAGATAAATTTTCACTACTTCTATATTCACTGAAAAGAAATTAGCTGCTGTCTTGCTCTGTAAATTACTGAAGAAGAAGAAGGAAAAACAAAGCTTTTTAATGATGCAACACATAGTTCATGGGGGATTTATTCTGCCCTGCTTACAGCGAGAGAATGTCCTCCTAGGGAACTAGCATTCATATGGGCTCGAACTTCAATTCAAGGAATTTGTGTGAAACACGCTAATGACATTGCTACGGCCTTGACAAACCTGCATCGTGGCCCGGCTCTTCTGGGCACTAGTTCATCAACGAGAAACAGAATCGTTTGGCTTGTTGACATGTCCCCAGTAACTAACTGACAAAAACATTAAATAAATCTACAGATTTTGTTATACCAGGTAATAATGTTTTCCATAATGAACCCAGCAAACTCAGACATAACTGGTTACAGATATCATAGCGAACAATAACAGCATAAAAGTGAGTTGTTTGTGTTCCCTGCAGAAAGGGTTGTCCACAGCATTAGTGAAAACACAGTGGTCAATACTGGCCAAATTCTTTATATTTTTCAGTAACTTCCAGTGCGCGACAGCGGTAAATTTTTTCACAGCATATAGAAATAGACAATATTTTTCAATAGAAAAAAATCAGGACAAATTTCAACCTGTTTCAATCTGTTGAAAGGTCTCTTGTGAATCAAACACATATCTGTCAGAGAGATGTGGTTCGGATTATTGATTGTCTTGGAAATAATATGAGATCCAGAGTCAAACATTAGATTCATCTCTCATTTTTTAGAAACTACAGGTGTAATATCAGTTTATTTCACGATTTTATTTAGTGTCAGTGCAATCTTTATAACTGAGAGTTATAGTATGTCAATGTAACAGCAAAAAGGTTCATTTGTGATGGGCAAATAGGCAAATAATTAAGCAGTTAAGTTGTTGGGCAGCTAAACAAATGAAAAGAAAAGACTGACTACATATTCGTGAATGAAATTTGAGAAATATTTATGTTTCGCGTAGGACCGGATTTAGGTTCTGCAGGACTGCAAAGATAAAAGTTCTGTTTCACACCTCTGAGGAAGTTCCTTCCAATTTACCAAAAAGATACACAAATATTAATAGAATAAATGTTAGCACAAATTCAAGAAAATTTTACAACTTTTTGCGAATATTTATGAAATATTTTCCAGCTAGCACACCACCTTGAATGGGGGTTCTGAAGCAATTGCACATTTTGTTTGTATATGAATCCAGCTCCAGTTAACGAGCAGCTGAGACTTACAGCATGACGGAGATCACTTTAATGAGTGCAACCAATAAGAACTTGCCTTTCATAAAAAAATAAAAAATAAAAAAGAAAATTAATTGTTCAACTTCAATAATTTTCCACACGTGTGATATTTCTGTTGTTGTGAACTGATTTAATTAATTCATTGTGTTTATCATATCTTAATTTTGCAAAAACATGTTTACCTTATCATGGTTCAAATCCAATGCCGTCAGTGTAGCAAGGGGTTTGTGGTAAATCATATCATTATTACTAATTGATTTTACATCTTTTACCACATATGTGCCAGCAAATCTAAAAAAAACAAAAGGAATGAGTGAATGAATGAATAAATAAATACATACTGAGAAGTAGTGTAACATATGTAATAACCATTAGCCACTATAAATTACTAACCTTACTAAAAAAATGAAACGTATACAGTAAAACCTGTCTGAACCAGAATCATTTACGTACAACATTTTCGTCCGTCTTGAACAGGTTTCCATGTTATTCAGGTTTGCAATAAAAACTTAATTCAGAAAACACAATCGTTTAAGGATTCAATAGGTTGTAAGAGTAGTTCATCTGACTTAAAAGCTTTATGTTATGTGTAATTGCATTTGTGTGTACTTTAGATAATCTAAATTTTTTCACCCAAAGCTAACATTTTCAATTTGCCACAAGACATTCTAATTAACACAGTATCTGCAACTTATTGAACTGAACACACCGAGTAAACGAACTGAACACACCGAGTAAACGAACCACTAAACCCAAAGCAAGCATTTCAAGATCTGTGGAAGGATCACTCTCTGCATCTCTCCTTCCTTCACACGGGCTTATAAAGGTCAGTGCTCTCACAAACAAACAGTGGCTTTCGCACAGCAAGAATATCAGATGTTTGGACGAGGGTAGCAGAAAAAGCGAATGGACAAGCACAGTTCCGAGTGTGTCTTGGTACAATGAAGCCACACTTACAAGTTAGTGCTTTATATTAAAACAACATTCATTTTCTGTCTTATCCGGAATTTTTAATACTGTCCTACAAAAAATTCCTTTCCGTATTTGCGTTAGGCTAGTTTCCGGTTTATCCAGTGCTCTTTCCTTTGCAAAAAATAGTCTGTCCTGACATTTTCTCCTGATGAAAGCAGGTTTGTCTTAGATAGGTTTTACTGTATTTCCAGTACAGAAACTTTTACCTGGAACCCCAGTAATTTCTTATTCTTGGTCTTTCCCTACAGCTTTCCTTCAGCCCAGTATATTTTTCATTCTTTTGATGACGTTCTTGCGCTTCTCTTTGACGAACAGCCAAAAGTTCAGCTTCATCTCGCGTTTTCTCCACAATACTTCTCTGGGCTTCTGCTGTTGCCAAATAGGCTGGATTCTGGTCACGCAACATCTGGGAAATAATCTATCAAACACAAAAGCTACATAAATATATGTTTTATAGTCAGAGTGAAACATGCAACATAGAACAATGAATTCTTTCATGAGAATTATTTTCTTGCAAAATTCTATCTTACTACTAACATTTATTTGACTTTTCTGAGAAAACTCAAAGAATCAGATAATAACCTATTATAACCTAGTATGAAGAAATAGTAACAAATGAAAGTTATTTTTGTTAATTGAATACTTTCGTAACAACAGGGCATTTACCAATTAAAAATGTAAAAAAATCCCGTAGTAACCTTATGTTAACAGAGATAATTTTCAAATATAAAACATAGAGTTGAACAAAGTCACTTTTACCAAGGTTTTATGAAATATTAAAATGGCTCAAGAGACATTACAGAAAAATATTCAGTACTTACTTCCAAAACATGCATGTGAAACCTGTCTTCATGTTTTGAACTGATAACATAATGGAGCAAACCAACCATTCCAGATTGATACAGGGCCCATAGAACCTACCAAAAATTCCAAAGGATTTGAAAACAGTCGTTAGTACACATCAGTACATTTCCAGAAATTTGCTAAGTATTCTCCAATTAAAACATAGTGTGAATTTACAATTAGATCAGCTGAATTGCAGTTATCCAATTAGGAGCTTCAATATACAAAAATTAAGTTGTAACAAAACTCTCAAATGGATAATTTTATCCCAGCTGACTGCTGTCTTCCTATGTTGTAAACAATTCTTCCTATGTTGTAAACAAAGAATAATCTTCAGCATTCCAGAGAGTATTTTTTCCTAATAATAAACATGCTTAGACACTCACACAATGCCACCAGGACTATCAATTTCAGGGCTCCCCAATGTAGAAAAGCAATAATTTATGTAGGGATGCAGATGAACCGCGGTACAAGAGAACCCACTTATATAAGAAAAAAATATGGACTGTAAATATAAATTACGTTAAAGTCAAGAGTAGAAAACCTCAGCACTATACGGCACAAACAGCAAAGATTGTATGATAACCTTACGTGAAGAGGTTAAAAGACCCCGTAACAAGCCTATATGAGGCAAAATTCTTTGTTTACAGATGACCCTTATAACGGGATTCTATAGTTTTATCTGAATAAACAGCATATCCAGATATATTTAAATCTGACAATACCTAAATAATTCAACATAGATTTTGTAGGCTTCTGCTGCCGGAGTCATTTAATACTTGACTGTCCAGAATGAGCCGCAACACGGTTGGTAGAGCTACACCAGTTTGGCTCCAAAGAAGGAGACATTAAGGTCAAAATGTCAGCTCAACCAACTGTGACGCAGCTTATCCCAGACAGCCAAGTATTAAATAATTTGACGTAGGTCCTAGAGATTATGAACAAGAACTAAAATGGCACATAATTCGTAACACCCAATTCTGAATACAGCAATTTCTTTGTCACCAAATCATAAATACAAAATGTTTCATCCAGTAAAAGAAAATTGCAAACAAGGTACAATGTTATTTAGAAATGATCAAACAGAAAGTGAACAAGTATTAGTTACAATTACCTGGTCATGAATAGTGGCATCATTGTCAGGTCTTTTCTCTGCTTCCCGATCAGCAGGTACTTGCAACACATTACGCACTAATGTAAGAATTCTTTCAATAACTTTGCCTTCATCTTCTGATCTGTCTTGCCACTCCTAGTGGAAAAAATTGATTTGTTCATTCAACAAATTTCAGATAAATATTTCTAAATTCAGAAAAATACTTACTATGTTCAATAGGTTACCAAGTTTTCGGCACAACACTGCCCACACAACTTCATCAACAAAAGCTTCTTTATAAGACTGAAGATGTGAAATAATTTGCAAATAATAAAATCTTGAAGTTTTATCTTCTGGCAGTTCAGCATTGTACAAAACAAGGGCAGGGTATGTCAAATTCACGAGTAATCTAATTAAATAGATAGAAATATCATTAATACCTTCAATGCCAATACTCCAGAAAAAACAACACAACATAACTTCTCTACTAGCAATACCTAAGTACATGGTCGAAAAGTTCCGTTTCTTCACAATGCTCTTTCAATATAGGCAGCAGGTCTGTCTGTAAAATTTTTGCTTCACCAAGATGTCTTCGAATTTCATGATTTTCATCATCACGTCGCAGATATCGAATAAGATCTTTCACAGCCTCTGAAATTTAGCCATAACAATGGGACTTCATTATGATGAAAAATTCAATGTTTAACAAACTGGACACGCATTCTTAAGCATACCTTCACATTGTGGATCAGTAAAGTATCTTGCGCCGTCTGAATACCCTAATGCATTACATGTGGCAGCAATTTCCGCAAATAGAAGAGATGACATGTCAAAATAATATATAAGATCACTAATAAAAATATTCTGTACACATACTACGCTTGTTTAATTTTTTTCAGTTGAAATAAACAATATTCCTGATTTACATTAATAAGACGCACAAAACAATACGTAACCGTAATGTTAATGAATAGTTTTGTTCTTCAACAGTTTTTGTTATGAAATTAAACTATAAACAACTCACAATACAACTTTTACAACCTGCACTTCACTCAACATCATCACGATCTTCAGATTGGCGGGAAGATCCGACGTACTACCCAGAGATTCGTTCACAATACCGAATCCCTAAGTTCATGCACCAACCTGACAGCAGGTAAGTAAGTAGCTTCAGCAAAGCAAAAGTAAATAAAAATTACTTTTACTGAGTTAATAATGCATAAGTTGCAATATGGTAACACAAGCAGATTGTGCTAATCTCAAAAACATATAAGTACGTTGGGAAAGGCAGTATCTTCTACTTCATAAAAATTTGTTACTTTGGCAAAACAGAAAAATGAACGTAGTTGAGTACATGCGGGGAATTTAAATGGCCGAACAGCCTTAACATTTTCACAATGCGGAACATGAGAAGATTATATTTTTTATAATTAAAAAAAATCAAACTTTACAAAGTTACAAGAATTGAATATCAAGGGGTACAAATAAAATTGTAATACAATCGTCTTTGTCAACGTTCATAGTTATTTTAAAGTTAGAATACTTAAAGATCCTGGCGTTTTTTTGTTCTTCCGTGGCCTTATTATTCTGAAGACACTTAAAGATTTGACACAACATTCACTTTTACATTATTAAATGACGCAACAAGAACAAAAAATGTTGGGCAATGTGAAATATTTTGGAAAGTATATTATTCTATTAACCGGTATTTCTAGATTGGAATACCAATTCTATAGATATCTTAGAAATGCTGTAGGTTATTTCCTCGAAGAATTAAACTGAAATTGATTCCAAAAGATGACTTCCAAATATACCATTGGTAAATAATAAACAAACATTAATCATGTTTCTAAAATGTTCTTTTACGCTAATCTTGGTATTGAATTGACATAAGAGAAAATAAAAATTATCGTTATCGAAGTTCATCAATATTTTCAGTAATTAATACGTTATCTAGTAATTAAATAAATGAGTAATCTGAAATCACTTATTTTGGTTATATACATCTCAATAATACATCGTATGTGGCGTATAAATTGAATTAAATAGCCTTGGTGAAATTTGAGATGGTTTTTGAATCATTATATTAATAAATCTGGCATTTTCGAAAAATCTTCCCTACCTTCTATCTTCCTTGTTTTATATCCCGAGATCTGGTCCACCTAAGACTGTCTAAGCAAATAAGCCCATTGTTCCTGTTCATTGCGAGCTTGATGGCACTTATAATTGTTTCTATAAAGGGGCCCATGGCGTGAATTTATCTAAAGGAAGGAATCGTATGGAAATTAGCTCGCAAACATTTTTATTATTATTATTATTATTATTATTATTATTATTATTATTATTATTATTATTATTATTATATTAATTATTATTAATCATTATTATTAAATTTTTAATTATTAATATTTTTATTAATTATTATTAATTAATTTTATTATTAATATTAAATTTATTATCATTATTATTAATAATTTTTTTAAAGGAGCAAATGTGAAACTTACATTTAGTGTAAAGAATTTGAGGTAGTAAACGAGTTAGTTTATACCCAGCATTGTTTTACAAAGTCAGCGGAATGTGAAATTGTTCCAACGTAATTTCTTAGCTGTAAAACACTGCTACGCGACTACTACCTTACTGTTGAATTACCATCGTAATTTCAATATTTTTGACATGTTAGAATCATTTATAAAATTCACAATGATTCAAGGCAGAGCAAAGCTAGTTTTCTTGGAAGCTCGTTTACACATAACAGCATCGGAAAATGCATATAAAAACGTGAAAATGAGAATAGACAGGGAGAGGACGAAGAAAGATTGACGAGAAAGGAAAACTGCTCTAATAAATAAGTGCCTCGTCTCTGTCGTACATAATCGACTTCAAACGCCTCCCATTTCCTTCATTTTAGCCAGCAAAAGGGAGCAGAATTTCATACACAGCCTCTCCTGAGGGGAAGCCAAAGGACGTAAAAGAAGTTGTGAGACACGCCCGTCTAGTCAGTCAACTGCTCACTCTTAATAGCTTCCACAGCGGAAATATAATTTCCTCTTGCCTTTGACTTACTTGACTCATTGTCGACCTGTGTTTGAAGATGAGTTCAAAGCGTCACCGGCCAAAGCAAATAAATTTTTCTCCGCTTAATATTTCAAAATGGCTTGAAAATAATTCAAATGTAATGAGTTTAGAGGACGAAAAATGTTTTACATTTCTAAGAAAGAATCAAAACGAACCAACTTCACACGCACTGTATAATAGTGGATAGAAAAAAATGATATTTAAAAAAATGAGTGCATTTTAGTCAGTGTGTGTAGCTGTAGTAATAAGGTTCTGAAGTCAAATCGTAGTTACCTTGCAAATGGTAAGTTCATAGGTGATGTCAAAATTTTTTAAAACGTAAGTTACGATCTTTTTATAATTATTTTTCGTTTAGGGAGGAATTACAGGAAAGTGAACTTTTGGGTTTCTGTTGTACATGGTCAGCTTCTTTATAAAACGAGTTTTATGAAAAGTATATCATTTTCTTATAAAAAGTTTCATGAAAGGAAGTACGTTGTTACATGGCTAAATGGTTACATGGCAAAATTTTTCGTAAAAATGTTTGGCCGGCTCTCTGTGGATGATACCTTGTACAAACTTCACTGTTTCGGCTTCTCGTCTGATATTACGATTATAATTATAATAGTCTTTGCCAGTAAGTGCTGTTTCTGATATTCATCAAGAACCGTGCCTGTCTTCCAGCACTCACAGATACCACTTTTAGTCATTTTCATGCTCGTTTAGTCGATCCTATTTGGAGGAAACTAACATAACTCTCGTCTGAACGCAAATTTGGATCAGTTTGTTGTCGTTTGAGCGGCGTGGTTCTCTCAGCGGATGCCTTTGCTCCGGAAGGCATTCGCAAATACTGATTGGTTGTTGCGTAAAACTATTTGATGAAAATATGACATGTTCTATTTTATAAAATTTTGTATAAAATCTCCCCCACAGAGGAAGTGTGCATACTTTGATTTATTTATAAAGAAACCTCAACGTCAAGTTACGCTGTGTTATACAAGGTACACAAGTTACATATACGCGCGGCTAGCACGTGGTAAGGTCGTGGCTGCGGCCACCAGCCCCGCTGAGACGAACGTTTGCGAACGTTTAACACTGTAGTTGAAGCTCACTATTGGTCACTCAAGATATATCAGGAATAGATTTTGGGGGTACTTTACATGAAGCCCTGGGAAGTTTTGAAATTTTTCTCAAAAATGGCTCCAAATTTTTTCTTTGAATTTCTTCTAAGAATATAGTAAAATGCGCTTATAAAGGGGACATAGATCCGATTTTCACGGCGAACTCTGAATTTTCAAAAAAGTTAAAAGTTTGAATTTTTTCCTACAACTGCAGAATTTAAGATAGAGATTCAATTGAAATTTGTTGTCCATAAATTTTTTTTTCATTAAGGTCATGCCAATTTTTTTGAAAATTTCAATTGTTTTCGCGAAATATTGCGTGCAATTTTAAAAAATTATAAAAAACAAGATTTTCTCAAAAAGGCTCCAAATATTTTGTTTAATCTTTCAGTAGGGATAGTTCTAAATGTACTCTATAAGATGACATAGACAACATTTGCATATCAAATTTCGAATTTAGTGTAACGCTTAAGCGCTATTTTCTTAAAAAACGGCTGCAAATTTTTCAAAGTAAAGTAACCTTCAGGACGAGGTTTCACTGTTCTTTAATATTCTTAAAAATATTTCTGTTCCACTATTACAAAATCAAATATTAAGAAAATTTAAAATAGTGTTCTTTGGGCGGCAATAGATGGCAGCATGTGGCAAGTTCCAATAGCTAGCCGAGAACAAAAAAATAGAAAAATACTACGGAAATGTCTGTGTCATTCTGTGGCACCGCTAGTTTATATGTTAAATGAACGAGATGTATATCCACGATAAATTCATTGAAATTTTCATTGGAAAGCAAAAGTGAACAAATGGTGAAATGAAAACTGACATTGCTTCTTATTTGTTCTCTGTTTTTAAAAATACAGAAATTGATCCTTCCGTCAAAAAGAGGAATAGCGTTAGTGAAGAAAACAAAAATAAAAAGTCTAAAACTAATACCACTATTACCAATTTCAAAACATCTGAAATTGAACGTCACGAAATTTGTAAGGACTGAATCCTGCGGGTGGGGGTGTGGACCCAGCGTGGGCTACCACTCCACACGATTTCTTACTTTACCAGGAGACAAATGTCCCCGGGGTAGGCACCTAAGCTTTTCGCCTTTATTCACCCCCCCCCCTCTGATGCTCAAGTGCGCCGACGGGCTGGATCCCGCCGGAACGCAGTTTGTTCTCTCGGGAACCTCTCCATTCAATACCTGGGTTGGGGTCGCCCTGCCAGCTCAGAGCTACTACCTATCTAGGCTAGTAACGGGGTCCATACAATTTACTACTCGTCTCTCGTCTTTGCCCAGAATATCGGGCCACTACCACGAAAAAGCCAAGAGCCCAACAGGGGACCTCCCGAACTAATATTGGGGTGACTTGGGGCCTCCTTCCCATCTTCCCACCGTCTATACCTTCAGGCAATTGACGTGAGAAACGCCAGAACCTAGGCAATCGGACAGAAAGGTATCTGTTTGCCGCCGGACTTTCATATGTGGAATCCGGAGCATTCCGAAGGACGTCTTTTGCCCGGTCCTACACAAAGGTCGACGTTTCAGGGGCCCAACTGGTGGGTTTCCGGGCAAGGCTCGGCAACACGGAGCTTAGCATCGCCTCCTCACTACCTCCGCTTTGAAGCTAACGGCGTGAGAGTCGCCGCGAAACTCAGTGCCTGGGTGGTCGCCTACAACTCTCCACCAGAAATCGCGCCCACCTACGCAGACGCGATTTCCCTCTGCGGGAATGATGGGGTATGTGTGAAAAGCGTCGGCAGCTACTCGGGCTCACTTCGCATCAGCTACATCAGGAGTCAATAGGAGCATTTTTAAGACATTTTCGGCAAATGGCCACTAAGCTTACGTGCCAAGCCAACGCCATTCACACTTACGTATTAAAGTATAAATTAGTTTGGCCGAGAACGTGAACGTGCGTCGGCATTG